ATCTTATAGATCTTATAAAGCCTATCAAGGACCATGTTTCTTTGCTTAACGTTATGTTTTGTCGAGAACGATTTGGAAGATGATCATAAGATGTCTACACACCAAGATATGGTTCAAGACTACCCGACAGCGCTCGGATAATATCAATTTTAAGAAACGTATTTCTTAATGATGGCTCTTCGTAGGTTTTTATAAGGGACTGCAATATTTATCAGGAGAGGGGTTGGAATCCAGAGGGGTGGGGGGATCTAATTTTATATGCTGAAAGAGGGTGAGCAACGTCTAAAATGACCTAGAACCTTAATGTGAAACCGAAAAATCAACGGTGTCAGATTCTGTGATTTTTGGCCAAATACGTGTTGAAGTGGAAAAATTTCGAAGAAAAGCGTGCCACTGATTTGCGACAACTCTTTATTCATGAATAATAAATAAATTAATAAATTCATGGGGGGAGAGGGGCAGAGCGTAATTTATTTTGTTTTGCGAGGAGTTAGTAAGTACCTTTTTGGATTTTTTGGATCATTTCTCAACCTCCTTTCGTGATAAATATTCCGTAGTCCCTACGATGTGTTCCATCTTGACCTTTTGTTAATACCATGATGCCCTTCGTCAAAACAGTCATGATGTCTATAGGGGAAATGGCCGTTGATGGACATTAATAACAATCAGATTCCCTTAGCAAAACAATTGGGACTAATCGCATTACAAAAAGTGGGCAAAGCACTTTGGTCTTTTCAGAGGGCCGCATGGCACTATGATAGAACAGATATAGAAATGAAAGAAAGTTATAGTGCTTAGAAGGAGGCAATTCTGGGATAAAGACCCTTAGGAATAAATTCGGAAAAATTAATGTCGGACCTCGCTGATATTCGAACCCACGACCTTCGGATTTGTACTAGCGATGCTACAAAGCTAGACTGGGAGCAGGTCAGGGTGAAATGGTAGAGCAGCAAGTATAAATCTAAAGGTCGTGGATTCGAATCCCAGAGAGGTCAGAAATTAATTTTTTCCGAATTTATTCCTAAGAGCGTTTCTCCCGGCATTGCCTCCTTCTAAGTACTATAACTTTCTTTCATTTCTATATCATACCAGAGGGTCTCCATGGGGTTAACCGTCGTATATACGGGCAAAATTTTATCCTTCATCCGTCAAATCGCTGTTTCTTTAACTGTCAACCGCCAAAAAAGTTAACCGTCAAGACCGTGTGCTTATTTTTTTTCAAAAATGAGAGTTTTTAGTAACCCTATCCCTCCCTTAGCTGCATGTGCTTTCAGCATTTTATTTTGTTTATGTATTCATATAGGCTATTAATAAATGTCGATCAATACGGGACGTACGATGTTATACTAAGTCTAAAATCACACGATAATATAAAAATTAGGTAACCCCTAATAGCGGAGCTCCAATAGCAATATACGTAGAAGCTGAAAATGATTATCTAGTACTGCTATTTCAAAGGTAGATGCTCTGTTCTAAGGAATGTGAGTTACAACAGTTTTGTTGACATGCGAACAAATATTATAGAGAGTATGTTTATAAGAATTTTGTTCGTACTAATATTGACTTCGTTAGATTTTGTTCCGTTGGATGAAGTTTAATATTATAATCTGTAAAGGTCAATTGATTTAAAGTAAACCTTAAGCTTCTCGGCAAAAAGTAGTATACATAAGCTTACTATAATCAACATTGTTTCAACAATCGATGTTTGAACCCGGACTACTGGAACTTCACAATATTTTTTACCTTCATTATCGAACTTCCGATAAATTATCGTTCAAAGGTCATCTTCAACAGAGCCATACTTGTTTCAAGCATAGGTTTCATCAATTTATTAAGTCATTCAAGACTGTAGATTTTTTGTTTTTAATTTCTCTCAATCTAACTGCTAGCATGGTCTTGGTTTCCAAATGTCCACACTTTTAGTCGACAAAAGAACTTCGCTTAGATCCCTGCTTTTTCCCATATTGGTCCATATTATTGAAGTATTTCCAATAAAGTATCATCTCTTCGCATAGATCCCTGCTTTTTCCCATATTGGTCCATATTATTGAAGTATTTCCAAGAAAATATCATCTCTTTCTTGTTGTCGAAATATCAAAGTAAAATTATTTTTTTCTAATATCACTTTTGAGATGGGCCTAAATTGCTTTTCATCTTCGCAAATCGATTTCCCGGATGTGCGGACTCGTCGAAGTTATGACAAAATTGGCGGGAATATTTCTGTGCTGTTACTTCGCTCTTCTGTGGATTTTTTCCTTGTGATTAATTGTTCTAATATTATCAATATGTAATATAAATGTTTAAGGAAAAAATTTGATTTTTCAACTAATATTTGGCGCTTTGTTTCCTTTTCGAGCGGAGTATGGGTTTCCTGTTGTGGTACACGCACTCCAGGAAGGAAGGACGGGCGGAAACGTGCGTACGCGCCGGAACCCTGTGACGGTCCATGGAAAATCGACTCGATGGTATACCATTTTTTCTTAGCTATGGTGCTCCGCTTAATGTTTAACACAGCTACAATTTTAAAATGGATTAAATTTTAAGCTGTAAAATACTTTTGGCTCATTTTCAGCGTCAAATTATGAAATTGACTGTTATTTTCTTGTCGTCACCATCAAATGGACAGCCGCATCTAGATCCTCTTTATAGTGCGTGAGGTGTAGTGCGCGAGTAATGTAAACCGCCTATACGTAGCTGTTATGCCACTTCATCGTTAGAGCGTGAGCTGCGTACTTTGCATATCAAAGAATTGTATAGCATTCGTGCGGGTTCCCTCTGCTTTTTAGTTTTGGGCTTCCTTTAGCGAATCCATGCCATATATGGAAACAAACAAAATGGCGGATTGTTTAGAAGTGATTTCGCTATAATATCTGCAAGTTTACGACGATTTCAAGCTTTAAAAGTCGAGAAAATCGATAAAAACCATTCCTATCGAACTTCCAAATAAGGTAAGATTACCATATATGGCTGCTAAACGAAGGATAACTTTTGTGGGGCAATTCTTTGATATGCATTTTAGTGTCTGTGATTATCAATAACCTTATTACGGAATTTTAACTTTTGAATAGAACGTACTCTTGCTGAATGAATTTCAAAAATCGTTTTCCTTTTAGCGAAATTTTGTGTTATTGCTCTTGCCCAAAAGTCCACTTCGTGGATAACACAGCTATTAGAAATTGAGCAAATATCGAAAAACTACTACCACCACTGGAAAGAACAGTGTGAAATTAGTATGTTTACCAGATTTGAGCATGATTCGATGAAAATTCAAAGAGATACAGCGCTTAAAGGGACACTGTCAATGGATGACATACGCAGTAACAGTCTCACCTCTAACGGACTTTGAAARTATWACCTTCGAGGTAAATCATTTTGTGGTGCTTTTGACACACTTTGGAATATTCTAGATCTGCTTACCTTTACGAGCTGATTTATGTCGCGCCAACTTGGAGTCATAAACTTGAAAACACTAGCCTAGTGTTTTCAAGTTTACTCGCGCATGCGTGCCATTGACAGTGYCCCTTTAAAAGTCGGCAAAATTTACAAAGAAATGTATGGGTTGTCGGCATGAGATCGAGATTGACCTTGACTTGTTACAACCTCGCTAAAGATTTCTATGCAAAATTTAGTGTTTTTGAAGTGCCGTATCTCTTTAAATTTTAAAGAGATTATTTTCAAACTTGGCAAATTTGCTGACGTTATGACGCACTTTCCAGAGATGTTAATGATTTACCATAACGACGTAATGTAAAATTTCGAAATTATCCGCGAAATGGTGTATTCATGCATTGGTGACATAACCTAAAGGCAACGTGCATCGAATAGCCATTCGTTTCGTTTGTTTTGAAATGATTGCTCGTTGAAATTTGCCTTGAGGTTCGCTCAATATCGAAAATTGCAAGATTTCTTATATGAAAAAAATCGCGCAAAGGCTCTTGGTTGCACGTTGCCAAAAACACAAGACGTGCAAGTGAGTTTTTTTTACCGAACAACTCTTTTTCTTTTTTTCAACTCGGCAACCTTTATGAAATTAACTGCACACGTATCTATAGTCGGATAGGTTATTTATCAGGCTCTGATAACAAATAAATGACATATATTTTCATTTTAGATGTATATTGAATTGTATGGAGACAACACTCAAGAAAATGACGGCATGCCGAGTAAGGTTTATCTAAACGTGACGCGTGGGAGTGTATCGTACTTTAAGGATGCACAGAACAAACTCAGGAGATTCCGTCAGTCACTACTTTCGAAAGAGTTTCAATTCAATCGTTTCGCAATAACAGATAAAGAAAAATGTATCGAGGCGACTAAAAATGGCCAGGGTGAGTAGTTATTGCATCATGATAATTGGATAATCATGAAACTTATAGGAACAGTCTAAAAATTATCTCCTATACTAAAAAATTATAGCTAATCCTTTTTAATGAGTTCGAAACCAGCTACAGTCACTGGAAAAAATCGYGCACTTTAAAGGTTGTAAATTTGATGTAAATATTATGTAAGTGTCCAAAATGATGTATATTTGATGTGCATCAGATTTACATCATTTTGGACACTTACATAATATTTACATCAGATTTACAACATTTGAAGTGCGCGATGTTTTTCAGTGAGGCTAGCTATAGTATCAAATCTAAAGGAGGCACCAACGGTTTTTGCGCAAGAGTATCTCTTTTCAATTAAAGTGGTTACTCCTTTGATTGCGTGAAAAAGTCTTAATATCAAGGTGTTCAGATCCTTCATACTACACAAAGAACCTGAGTAACAAAAATCTAATTCCATTTTAGCCGATTCGTCTTTCTGCATAACAAAAAAAGACCCTCGCCTAATGCCAATGTGCTCTCGTCTCTCCGATTCGTTCGATGCTGAAAATAAACTTCTTGGAAGCCCAGAATGTCCGAGTCCATTTGGAACTTACACAATCGAGATGCCAATAGATGAGAACTTAGCGTGCCAGGATACGCAAGCAATAACAAACAAAAACTGCAAGGAGTTTGATGTAAGTTTCCTGATATATATATACTAGAGACTATACAGCCTTTTGCACAAATTATGAGACATTTTTATATATATAAATATACCTAACCAAATATCAAAAACACCCAAGAAATTATGGGATACCGTCACTGATATTTTGTCTGTAACAACCTGATGCTAGACAATCATGACAAAATATAATAGAGATATACCATAATTTCTGGGGTGTTTTTGATATTTGGTTAGGTATATTTATATATATAAAAATGTCTCATAATTTGTGCAAAAGGCTGTATTGAAAAAACGTAGTCGGGTTCCAAAAAAATTACGTCATGAAAGCCAAGGGGGGGAGGCAGCAGGGGAAAGCAAATATTTAGGTCGTAAATTTGAAGTAAATATGATGTAAGTGTCCAAAATTCTGTAAATTTGATGTAAATAATTTCCATTAAAATTACAGAATTTTGGTCACTTACATCATATTTACATAAAATGTACAACATTTAACCCTATTCAGACTGGACTTTTTTTCAATCTGTGACTGGGGGGGCTCATTCGGCCCCCACTCAATATCTTCGGAACCAATAGATCTATGACCATGAGATTTTCACGCAATGGTCACCCACGCAAGAACAACAACCACATCCAGTTTTGACCCATGGGAACTAAATGTGACGTCATAATGGCGTCATTTACATCATTTTAATGATTTATAAATCATTTTAATAAATTTCCTACAATTCCATAGAGAATGCTGCAATATCATCTGTTTATTATTGAAATGACTTGAAAATAATATTTTTGTATTTGTTAATTGACCCCTGTTCTATATGACGTCACAATGACGTCATAGATATCAGGTAATTTTTATAGATTATATATCTATATCTAGATAACCAGTTAAACATCATATTTAGGCGTTACTGCTCTCCTATGATGCTATGCTTCGTTCTGTATCCATGGTAACAGTTGTGACGTCATAATTGTGATGACGTCATTTCCTATAGTGTCTTTGTCGTCTTTGAATTATTTTATTATCTCACTTTTTTTTGTCTTCATCGTTATTTTATGGTAGAATTTACAATTTGAGAAGTTTTTGAAGGTGTTAAGGTGTTTCTATCGTAGTAAATATCGCTTCGCGCGTATTTTTAAACTCCAACTACATCGCAAATTTCGATTCAATTGCACTCAAATTTTCACAGAAGTAACAGTGATTATCGATAATTCTTGCTGATAACTTAATTTGGCAAAAAGCGAAGCCAAAAAGCGAAGCGATCCAAAATAAAAACACCTTACAGATTGTAATAAAATTTTCAGAACCATTCTTAATAACATAATTGATACACTGACGAAGTTTCAATAAAATCTTAACCTAAAATCTCGATTTGTTCGAATGTACATCATTTTGCTCAAATATCGGAAATTTTAGGTTAAGATTTTATTACGCTATTTATTACGATCGAAACACCTTAAAGCGCGCGATTATTTCCAGTGAAAACTGATTGACCAAACATCAATGACATTTTTCTTCTACGTCTGCGTTAGGCAAATAAATGTTGATCTTCATTGCAGCGAACCAAGTACACCAAGATGAATGTATGGGTTTTAAATCTGTATTGGTCTGGAAGCTACCCCACAGGTCCTGACGATGCAAGGTGCCAAGTTCTAGACGAAGTTAAAGGACAAAATGAAACTCGCATCTCGTTATCTACGGATCAATGAGCTCGCAAGCTTCGTGGAAACGGGTGAAATCAAATGGATCTGGAARAATCAAAACCGCAAGCAAAATAGATATTGAATAACAATCATGTTAAGCATGAATAACAATGGATGTCATTATAGCAGTTAATGTAAATTATAGAAAGTATGGCCAATAAAAACAGCAGAACGAACAATTAAAATTTATAGTATCTATTCAAAGCGGAAAACCGCTGACAACAGACAGATGCATTGCACATGCACAGAGATCTTACTTGAACCAATAGGAAAGCAAAAACCACAGCAGTTCATATGCCAAGTTTTTAATAACAATATTAGACGCGTTCAGTGCTCTCGCTCTCGTACTCAGAGCCCGCACTTTTGCCATCCAGCGGATATCAATGCGTGAGAGACTCTGGTGGAATCGACTGGATGCATAGGCTACCCAACTATTGCTTGAGAGAAAGAAAATACTGAATGCGCACGCTTATATTATCTTATCGMATTGGCGCGCGATGCGGGTTTCCTGTGGTATTACGTCATTGATCCCTTGCCTAGCGGGTGTGTTATCGAATCGGCGCGCGCTGCGGGTTACTTAAAGTCACGATCCCGCGCCTCGCGGGATACAAACTAGTCTGTGACAAGGTATGAAACACTGGTCACGTGACAAATATAATTTTGCTTCTTTTTCAACGAAAATCAACAGAAAACGACGATTTTCTTTCAAATAACAACACATCGTCAGGTTTCCTACCTTCCTCATGATTTTCAGTGAGAAATGTACATTACGTGACGAGAATATGAACTTTAAGCATTTCACTCGCCGTGGACCGATGTGTGCCCCAGGTACAGTGTCTAACCCTCCCTATCGTTTTTTTTTTTCGTATTGACTTCGAGAGCTTTCGGAAAACATTCGTGAGTTCCTCGAGGTGAAAATAAAAGTCAAGGATAAATTAATTTTCTTAAAAAAAGGAAAATAAAACATGCTAAAAAATGTAATATAAACAAAAACAAATTAAAAAGTTATAAAATACGAAAACCTTTCGAGGTCTTCAAGGTTCAGAAAAATAAACATTAGTAAAAACATGACAAATATGAGCTTAGTTATAATAAAATTAAAAATCTAATCCAGTTAACATTTCATATTGATAATACTGAAAAGCTTTATTACAGTTTCAAAGTACAAATATACATGATTTTGAACAGTGTTGATCTCATGCAATCTTGATGGTTGTTGAGTGCATACAATTCATTTTACCAGATTTTTAACGAAGCGTTTTCAAGTTTTCAAGCATCTAAAATCACGATGGTCTGTTGCTAGGGCTTTTCCTCCCGCATCGCGGGCTCTGAAACTACCAGCGGCTCTTAAATTCTCTTCAGTAATATAGGGACAAATCTCTGTTCAAAATGAAGCAGGGTATTACGAAATGTGCATAAGAAGAAAAAAACGTTCATTATTTGTACAATAATGACATTTTTTTCGTGTTTCCAAAAATTATGACGTCATCAAACTGATGCATTTTTGTAACACCATTGAAATACGTCAAAAGGGGACGCATGGGTGGCCGATCGGTGAGAGCGCTGGCCTGTCACCTCTGTGGACTCTGTTCGAATCTCGGTCGGGGCGCCATATGTGACTTGAGTTTCTTTCGTTCTCTCCCCTGCGTCGAGGGTTTTTCAGGGTCTTTCCGGGTTTTCCTCCCTCAGTAAAAACGAACCATTTCTATCTGCTGTGCTCCGCGTTCAGTCGTTCATTGCTATGTAAAGGAAGCGCCTAGCCGGCAGCACGCCTATGTGTAAGTGTATGTAAAAATGTGTCTGTAATATAGCACTTCGACTTGATAGCGCGTCGAGCTGCGTCTTTCGCAATTCAGCACCCGTGCTGCCATGACGGACGATTAGCACCCAACACCTTTTAAAAGCTGCTCAGAACGTTACAGACATTTTTGCAACACAAGATTAACAACTTTAGTGAAGACCCAATATCAATCGGACAAATAGTCGCCAAGTTACAGCTAATTAAAGAAATTCAAATTTCCCGCCATATGACCATAYACGGTAAAAATTAAGCCTATTTACAGTGGCCTTAGGATTGATTATATCGTTAGAAAAGTAGTATCAAAGGATATAAAACCAAAATCGTAGTTTTTTTTACTTTGGTTTTGGTATGCTATGATGCGTTTTTCGTCACGTAATACGTCATAAGGAATGATCCCGAGACACGGGATCGTGACGTAATACCACAGGTAATCCGCATTTCACTAAGAGCGCGCGCCGATACTAAAGTATAAAAGCGTGCGCATTCATTCTTTTCTTTCTCGCAAGCAATAGTTGGGTAGCCTATGCTGGATGCGACGCTTTTCCGTCGCAAATTATTCAAATGAGGTAAATTTTATTTTCTACTTTTAAAGCATTGAAATCACAAAAAGAAGGTTTAGCACACAACTTAGTTTAGGAACGGTATTTACACATTTTTAAAAACAAAAATGTGTGAAAACATGTGTGGTTATGCGAAAAAAGGATGATTTTCTTGACCAACAAGGCGAGCGCGCGCTGGCAACTTGAAAAACCGACTTGAAAACAATAAGCGCTCGCGTCATTTTCAACCAATCAGAAATCGAGAAAAACTTGATTCCTCCAGAGTCTCTCACGCATTGTCATCCGCTGAATGGCAAAAGTGCGGGTTCTGGGTACGAGATTGTTGACCATTCTGAAACTCAAAAGGAGGCTGGGAACGAGTGTGAAAATATCACTTTAGTGGTAAATTTTCAGTTGCACTTAGGCCTCGATAGGAAGTTAATTATTATTACAAATGAGACTATTCATATCAATGTTTGCATTGCTCAGATTCCTACAAATTCAAAAGAATATTTAACACGCTGTCGAGGCCTAAGAGCAACTGAAAAGGTGTATTGATCCTCACCACATGGAAAACCACACTAAAATAAGAGTTCTTGTCAAGTTTGAGCATATTTGGTTGAATACTCACCAAGTAGAATGTTCAAATTTTTAAAAACAAAAGAGAATTATCGTTTTTGGGACGCTGTTCGAAACCTTCATACATTCTTTGTAGGAGGGGGGGGGGTGTCCCCCACAAACCCAGGCTCCCCCGCTCCTGTTTCTTTTATTAATTTGAATATTCCATTAAGCTGTCCGAGTTTGTCCGAGTAAGAACCAAATTTGACAGTACAACGAAACTACAAGGCACCTTATCCACGAGTTTCCACGTTATCACCTAGGATATCCCAACGTAGCTTACATCGCTGTGATATTGCACCAAATCCATCTAAACTCCTCTTCGATAACCAACACCTCAATACTCATCATAAAATACCCTTCGTTTATTTAAAGCTACAAGGCTTTAAACGTACTAAATATCGAAGGTGTGGAAACATTATTTATAAAAAATTACTACTCAGTTTGCGGTCATCTAGCAAACTAGTATAGCGTTCGCTTGATGAAATCTTCCGACTTGAACTTTATTGAAAAACATTTTGTCTAAATTATAATTTCATTTTTTACTGGCAAGCAAAGCAGAGCGGATTTCGTATGAGTGGGACACCGTTCCCGCACGGTTACCGCACAGTTACCGGACCTGGCCTTCACAATTTTGATGAACCAATTGGGCACTAGAATTTGGTTACAGTACGATTACGGTCACAGTATAATACCGTTCGTTTCCCAATCATACGAAATCCGCTCTAAGGTAGAATTATTATCAGGTAATAGTATTTTATTAATAGTATATTATACTATCGATGTTTTAAAAACATCCTTTACAATATAACTTGATAGAAAGTTAGCTCTCTACCAGAGCTATCTTCCGTCTTAATTTTATCTTTGAATTCAACGTAAAACTATCTCGGGGCATAGCCTTTTCGTCCTCAGCCTAGGCTGAACATCTTTATTAGTAAGTCATACTTTAGCACATTAGTCATATTCTAGCCAATCATGTTTTAATACCGTCATCATATTGCACAAGATATACACTATAAAGGTAGATCCACATTATGTACAAATTTGTTGTCGTTATTATCAGTTATTGAAAGCTGCATGCAAAGCCAACATTGAGGGATATACTTTGTCCCGCTCTTTYAACCAGTTTGATCTTGATTCCTGAGTTACTGATGTCGTTGTCTAAGCGTCTTTTAAGTACAGATCCAGGGGTGGCTTGGACAAAAATAACACTATCATTTCCACCTTTCTTGTACCACRTTCTCTTCTTCTGCTCCTTCTCCTTTCTTCTCTCTATCTTCCTAAACTCCTTGGGACGGTACATAGATATTTCACCGTGTGCATCGTTTGTCTTTATTTTGTTATAGGCAGAGAGAGCTGACATCACAACGCTGTATCTAAACCTCTGGTCGTATCCTGCATATTGTATCTAAAAAGAGACTGAGTTCTTTTCAAAAGAAGACGAAGAAGACGAGAAGTAACATTTAGTGTAAACTTTGAACTAACTCTGAGTAGTTGACAAGTGTCCATAGGTTTCTTATAACTCGAGTTTAACCTAATTAAATTCACCTAATGTCCATATAGAAATAAAAAAATGACTTTTCATTTCATTTCATTCATTATATAATAGTATAGAAAAAGGCAACAGACATTCTAAGACTGCTCTAGACCATCTTACAATAACTGAAAGTGAACATTTTCATAATTCACATAGCCTTAAAAAATTCGGAATGCCGCCTTATTGTAGGTGTAGAACCTTTTCAAGATAGGCTGTATATAATAGAATATTTTCATTGTTTTGTTCTCTTTGTCCTGCTTGGGAGTAAGGGCGAGTACTCAGGGTTTATAATGACGGGAGGATTCGACTGAAAGAGCGTCACTTATCTTTTAAAATGGTTTGTGGGTCATTCTTCATAGATGCTGCCCAAAACTACTGTTTTATGAGATATAAAAGGTTATACATGCGACCGAATTTGAATAATCTTATTTGGCGAGTAGCTCATGAATTATTAGTAAGTTTTTTACAGATAGATTTACAGATAATCGGTTCATGAATTACTGACTGGACTTTAAGTTATAACATGTGCGACTGGATTTCAAAGACTTTGACATACTGCGTAGATAGGACCTCAATCTGTTTATATTGTTGATCAAGTTTACTGGATTGATATTATTATTATACATTATAATATAGCTTTTACTAATAGAACGCGCGCATTAAATGGCCGATGATCAATTCTATATTTCATCGGTACGGTYTCTCTTTTGTCGGTTCTTCAGTTTTTAAATCTTCTTATTTTTTCTTGTCATCAAACTATTTCAAATATTAACAAGAACTTTTTTGATTCAAACCAGTTCAGATAACGACTAAAACCTTTTCTTGACTCTGAATTTGTACAAATCTATTTTTATACAATTCAAATAGCTTTTCAAATCGTTGATGTATACTTTTTCGGTGCGCCGTCTTTTGTCACCATTTTACTTCTGACCATACTGTGCCTGCCAATTTGTTAAATAATACAAACTACAACAGCCTAAAGAGCACCAGAACTGCAACTGTGGATTAGACGTTTTCGATCTGTAGATTGCACATTTTCTGTCCAGGGGCGGATCTAGGGGGAGGGTTGAGTGATTGGGTTGACAAGTCACCCCCCCCCCCCCCCCCCCCCCCCCCCCCACCCACCCCTCCTTTCGAGAAAAAAAAACAATACTTAATAGAAACTTAGACTAAAACGATACAAAATTTTATTTCATTATTTTTCATTCAGAAACAATAGAATCGAAGGGTATATTTTCGTTTTCGAAGAGTGAATGAGGTYATTGCATCATACAATGACATTCGATGAGATATCGAAATGTGTTTTCAAGGTATATACGCTAACGTCTTGCGCCTTTCAAAGTTGGTGGGATCTGTTGAAGAACGTCCACGTGTCTGTCAAAAATAGACACACAGAGACAACACAGACCATGCAGTTGAGGAAATGTACAGTTGCAATACCATTTTTGGACATTCTTAATAGACCTAATCGGCTTCAACCCAACTCAAACCACCCGGGAGTAAGTTTCATTGTTCGTTGTATTTTCATTTCACAGTTGAATTCTTATATACGTATACGTATGTTTTCCGCAATGAACAAAGCATTGGCTTGTTTCTCGACCGATGGCTTTATGAACGACGCATGTATGAATTATTTGATGGATGGTTTGTTGTGACGTCAACCAATTGAATTCGAGTATATACGAGTGGACTTTATCTTATACCAATGGATCGATTGGTATATATTCGTGACCTCGGGATGTTGTGGAAGGGGTGAGGAGAAATCGTCATTAAGACAGGGATCCCAGATGAACAGATTTTGACTCGAAATGACTTCTTGAAGTCATAGATTGAATCTATTACTGACCACCAATAGAGACGAATGGAGTTAGACTATTTACCATTCGAGTCTATTGGTCTATAATTCCTATTTCACAGACGGATGAAAATGAATCTAAACCGTGCAACTGTACAAACTAAATAGTGCTAATTACAGTCAACTAATTACAGTCAAACTTTTGATATTGTACAGTTTCACGGTTACGATCACTCTAAATAATTCGAAATTAGTACTATTTATCAATTTCGGCCACTCTTTGTACGGGTTCATGTTTAATATGTACTATCGAGGGCCGAAGAGAGAATACTGATTGACAAACTTTACCTAAATCCGAAGGTGGTGTACTTCTGAAGGCTTCCCTGAATTTCTCGCTGGCAACCTGCTGWGCCTTACAGCTGGCTGGGCATAAGAAGTGATACACCTATTTCAAAAAACGTTGTCGTCACCAGGACTCAGTCCACAGTCTTGAGCCTGCAAAGAATCTCGGGATTGGCATATATAATTATACGTTCAATTTCAGTTATTCAAAATACTCCGATGTAGAGTTCTGGTTTGCCGCAAAACCAAGCAACATATTCTTTTGTTTCATTGATAACCAGAGAAAACGCATGGAATTTGAAAAGGGAGACMATAGAATTGATTTTAAATCTCAAACTTTTATTCTCACAATTAGGAATATTTTGCGAACAAATTATGCTAACACAGAGCATTGTAGAATTCGAAACTGGATCATTCTCGGTCTCATAGCGAATATAGATTTGAAACTCATTGACGTTTTAAAAACGTGGAATATTCATTTCAAGGAAAATATCGAGACTTGTTATATTAGTAGTGTTTGCCACCATTGAATTCAAACCACAATATATTTTGAATATATTGATTACGTATGGAAACCCCGAGATTCTTTGCAGGCTCAAGACTGTGGACTGTGTCGTGGTGACGACATCGTTTTATGAAATATCAAACAAATTCTCCAGAGGTGAGCCCCTTCAAGAGTGTAACCGAGTGGACTGATTTGTATGTAGTACGGGAGGCCAAAGCCCATGTAGTGCCTTTGGAGTAACTTACGACATAACGTGTGGTGAATGTGGCCAGAAAATATGTTGGGGAGACATCCCGTAGTGCGTATTCTAGAGGAAAGGAACACCTAAGGGACTTTGACCGCGAAAACAACAACCATTCTGTGCTAAAAAGACAATGCAAAGACGTGCATCAACGAAATACAAATAGAACTAACTTCAGAATGAAGGTCACGGGGGTTTACGGCAATGATGCGATGATGAGGCAAATCGAAGAATCCGTTAGGATAAAGAAGGACGGTGTTATTAACACTAAAAATGAATGGAACACGAGCAATAGTTAAATAGTCTATCGTTATATCTTTTGCGCACTCTCTTCTACAAGAACGTTAGCGCGCTCTATCGGTGAGCGTGAATGATGTTTTAAAATAACGTAGTCAACGAGTGTTAGACAAGTCTTTTAACTGAGGAGGTTTTCAATAAAACGAAGCTAGTTTTACAGACAATACAAACTGATTTTGTGCGTCAAGACCAAATGAAATCAAGATGAAATTAATATCAAGGTCTTGCGAGGCCAAAATAGTCAATATATCAAAGCGTCTTCTAATTGTTTTCTTAGTTATAGAGTTCGTATCGGTTTTCTGGATCAGAGTCAGCTTTAATATCAACTGTGTCTTATATTTCCACCGGTTTTGAGCGACCGTCTCTTGCCTTCCTCCGGTGCCCTARCGAGGTACCAGTGACTCCATTTGACTCCCCCTCTCTCTCTCTTTCTCTCCCTCTCTCTCTCCCCTTCTTTCTTCCTTCTTTTTTTTTTCTTTATCTTAAACTCTTTGAAATTAGCTGCAAATGCATTTTTAACTCGGAGATTGCGTAGCAATTGTAGAGTTATTGTGAGGGGACAAGCTGTCACTCGCTCGCTCGCTCGATCACTTTCCTGTAAATTTGAGCCTGCAATGTTTTTGTCAGCAGTTATTGATTTAGTCATATTAATGTATTCTACTTACATCCTCTAATTGGTCTCCCTATGCTTTTCGATTAATTATTATTTATCATATTTATATATTCACTTAATTTGGTTACTATAGTAACTTCTATATTCTTATTTTTGGGCAAATAAAGAAATCAAAGAAATATGGGTCATCTGGAATCTGAACCTGGGCCCGCTGGATCGGAAATCAAAGGCCAAGCGTGCTAATGTTACACAACATCGGCTAGACTTGTCTTTTAACTTACAGGCTCTCGCCCCTGCTTGTCTAGAATCGAAGTTGAAATAATAAGATTTTATAACGAAAAAATCTGCATTCAAATATCGTTTACTTAAAATTCTACTTGAAAAGTAAAATCTAATTTGATTCGTTGTATTGTTCACAAAGGAAGCATGAGGAAGACTCGCCGATCCGACTATTAAATTCGTCTCGAAAATCATTTTACGTATGTTTTATTTATCCACGTTCGTCTACAATTCAAAAAATATATTCGCTCGCTACCGTACTATTACATTGTAATATTTGATATATAGTTCATTGCCTGGTTAGATATCGATAATACTATTTAGAGTCGCTATGGAAACTGGCAGACAATAACAACAATGGTGCCGTATAGTTGGTCGGGGATTCAATTGAACCAACTTTCAGTTGTTTAATTCACCGTTACGGAGGAAGCATTCCTCCGTAAAAGAATTGCGGGAAAAATTAATTAATAATAATAAATAATAATAATAAAGAACAAAAAAAAGCATTTTATATCCCTTGGGATTCGAACCGTGTCCACTTGGTCAATACGCCTATGTTTTAACCATTGACCTACGATGGCAAAATTTATAAAATGATGGCTACGACTGGGATTTATTTCGCCGTCACTCGCCGTGCTTATCATCACAGCCGAAGTTAAAATAATAGGATTTTAACGAAAACATTTCATAAATCGTTTACTTAAAATTCTAATTGTTAAGTAATTATAATTTGATTCATCTTACATGTATCGTTCTGCATCAATCTTCGAGTTATGCTGCCATTGGCTGCTTGATTTATTGTAGAGGTATATTGAATTGTATGGAGATAACACTCAAGAAGGAGACATGCCGAGAAAGGTTTATCTGGACGTGACGCGCGAAAGTGCTTCATACTTCAGGGATGGACAAAAGAACGTCAAGAAGTTCCGCCAGTCACGACTTTCCAAAGCTTTTTCTTTCTATCGTATCGCAACAACAGACGAAGAAAAATGTGACCAGGCCAGTAAGGAAGGAAACAGTGAGTACGCAACACCATGGAAACATGGATGAGAAATTTCATGAACAACTATCAGTTCAAGGGAGCACGGCAGAATGGCTTTTGTACCTATTCATTTACGATCAAACGGCGCGGAACGATCGTCGACCGTTGACCTATTTTGAATATTTGAATGTTTATCCGCTGACCGTATGTAACGGATGTGTTCCGGACGTGTGACGTCATTCGAGGCTCGATCGCGCCTTCATGTCCTCACTAGGGCAAACCCTTCTGAGAGAGTCTGGAAAGAGAGCTTAGAGCATGAACCGGAACCAAGATTTTTTGCTTCAGTTTTATATATTAGGGTGTCTCAGAGCAAACGATATATAGGCAGCGAGAGTAGTGTCTGTGTACAAGAATGGTCAATATGTCAATTTAATCTTACAATGACAATTATGTAACAAATGACAACGACAAAGACTTCTACAAAACACGCAAAGATCACGGCTAAATTGTTTGATCCTCATTTCAGCCGATTCGGCTTTCTGCATTACGAAAGACGATACTCGCTTCTTCGAAATGTGCACTCGTTTGACTGGCATGCCCCAAAATGAAGAACTTCTTGGAAGCCTGGAATGCGCGAGTCCATTTGGAACTTACAGAATAGAGATGCCAATTGACGAGAATTTACCATGTCAGGATTCAGACGTGATAACGAACAAAAACTGCAAAAATTTAGATGTAAGTTGTTTCTCGATATATTTTAAGGCATCATTTATCATGTAGATTCGTAACTTTATTTTGCCCGATATTTTCCAATTGTTAGAATTGAATCTAGAGTTGCTCTCTTTCGGTTATGCACATTTTCATGACATTTTGTCTGATCAAAAAGTTCTACAGTTATATACTTTTTGGAAATCCGAACATTAAAACATTTTGTGCTGTATATCTAATAAAGCACTGGTGAATAAATCATCAACAGTGTCGATATATATGGTAACAGACTCCTTTATTTTGTCAAAAGAATCATTACTCATTGTGATTGTGATAGTACAAATCTGTGGTGGTTATGATAAATTATCAAAAATTCATGAGCCACCCAATTAAACCAATTTAACCTATTCTAAACAAATGTATGTTGATCTGTACGGCTGTTGTACTCCCACTTCTTGTTTTAAGGGGTTCAATTGTTTCTTCTTTCGTCATTTTCTTTATAATCTTCACTTGAATGTAACGTTTCTAGGGTAGCGAGAGTGAATAAGAAGAGCCAATTTCGTGCAGCACTAAATCAGAATCAATGTCGTTTGCATACTATAAATGCTTTCATATTTTGGATTAGGGGGCTAACGACCGCCGTAGATGGGTGTCCTGAAGGAGGTATGGGAGTCCTCCCCCAGGAAATTTTGAAATGACAACTCTTAGAAGTCCTATTTCCAGCGTTTTGAGGGGCATCGAGAGCATATTAAAGACATGAAATTTCGAAAATTTTAATATTTCCTTGCCACTTGTACGGACGTGCGTAGAGAGAAGGACGTTAYGCGTSTRACAATTAGAAAATWCACAATAATCATCAATCGTTAATAGAAATTACTGTACTTAAGAAAATAGTTGCGTCTTTTTTGGAGCTACAGAAACTTGTAAAGTTACAGGTGCAATTCTGGTAGTCTTTGAACGCCTGCCAAAAACCGACAATGCTTACTGTCAACTCCCGTCATGTTGAACATAATGGCAATCAATTCAAATATATGTATCGAGTAATGACTGGTTTGAYTATTATTTGGTGTAAACTGGCATATTTCTTATATATACTGAGTTATAAAAGATCTTCTTATTTGAAGTCAACGTTCATATATCATTCAGCAAAGGTCACTCAAGCTTACAGACGAATCTACGTTGAACTTCTATTTTTGTTTAAAAACCTTTGCCAAGAACAATGTTATTTGAAAGAAGCAAGAGCAACACATTTGCTTGTCTTTACACTTAGATCCAGATGAGTAACCCACCTCTTGCATCTGGGGTTTTTCTTTAGTGAATTTTGGGTTGCTGCAGTTGACTCGACTCGCTTGCGCTTGTTTTATAACTAAGGTTAATAGTGGGGGATATAGTAGAGGGGGGGAGAGCTATTTTCTTGTGCTTCGGAGGAGGGGGGGGGAGGGTTCTGACTAATTTTCTGCTTAAGAAATCTGGTTTTACGTCCAGAGATAATTCGAGATAATTTTTGAACTTATATGCGATTAATTTGATGCAAAACGTGTTTTAGTTGGTAGCCAAAGTCATGTCACACAACGCCAGGTCACGCGCATGAAAAGCCGTGGAAATCATCTGAAATTCTTCTAAATCGTAGTTTTTTTGTTTTAATATAGATAATAAGGTTTATTTGCTACTTTGCACCCGAAATTATGTTCATAACATTTAGCCGCCATTTCTGGTGGACTTCAGAGATCCGCCAGTACGGTAACGCCATACATTTCTTTGTAAAGATCGGCATAATATAAAAATTAGGTAACACCTAATAGCGGAGCTCCAATAGCAATATAGAAGCTGAAAATGATTATCTAGTACTGCTATTTCAAAGGTAGATGCTCTGTTCTAAGGAATGTGAGCTACAACAGTTTTGTTGACATGCGAACAAATATTATGAAGAGTATGTTTATGAGAATTTAGTTCGTACTATTATATTGACTTCGGTAGATTTTGTTCCGTTGGATGAAGTTTAAAATTATAATTAAAAGTAAACTGAAAGCTTCTCGGCAAAAAGTAGTCTACATAAGCTTACAATAATCAACATTGTTTCAATAATCGATGTTTGAACCCGGACTACTCGAACTTCACATATCACAGAAAACTGTATACAAAAATATACTTTTTACCTTCATTATCGAACTTCCGATAAATTATCGTTCAAAGGTCATCTTCAACAGAACCCTGATACTTGTGTTTCAAGCATAGGTTTCATCAATTTATTACATGTAAGTCATTCAAGACTGTAGATTCTTTGTTTTTAATCTCTCTTAATCTAACTGCTAGCATGGTCTTGGTTTCGAAATGTCCACACTTTTAGTCGACAAAAGAACTTCGCATAGATCCCTGCTTTTTCCCATATTGCTCCATATTATTGAAGTATTTCCAATAAAGTATCATCTCTTTCTTGCTGTCGATATATCAAAGTAAAATCCTTCTTTCTAATATCACTTTTAAGATGGTCCAAAATTGCTTTTCATCTTCGCAAATCGATTTCCCGGATGTGCGGACGCGTCGAAGTTATGACAAAATTGGCGGGAATATTCTGTGCTGTTATTTCGCTCTTCAGTGAGTTTTTTATGTGATTAATTGTTCTAATATTATCAATATGTAATATAAATGTTTAAGGAAAAAATTTCGATTTTTCAACAAATACTTGGCGCTTTGTTTCCTTTTCGAGCAGAGTATGGGTTTCCTGTGGTGGTACAAGGAATCCAGGACGGACGGAAGGACGGAAACATGCGTACGCGCGGGAACCCTGTGTCGGTCCATGGAAAATCGACTCGATGTTATACCATTTTTTCTTAGCTATGGTGCTCCTTCGGCCCGCGCAGGAGCTCCGCTTGATAAAATTGCTTATAAACTTGCAACAAAAGCTCGGTTCGACTCAAAATTTCACAGAATTACAGRATTKTARTACRTCTWTTRTGTKAAAGTACCGAMATTTTATCTTTGATTTTAAAACTCTCTAAAAATGTTGGTGCCGTGGAAGCGTATAAACATGACCTCGCCATACATTTCCTTCTAAAAAATAAGCGTATAAAATTGCTTATATCTTAGCCAATAAAACTCCTTTCGGCAAAAACATTTTCAGGGATACAGAGTTTTACTCGCTCTTTTACATGGATTACTTGTATTTTGTTTATGACTAATTTTACGGAATTTTTTTCCATGACGTACCTGCAAACGAAGAATTCAGAATTTATTATTTTTTTCCAAGAGAGAGAGGAGGCTCTTAAAACTTTTCCCTGGACACACAAAATTTCTTAACATTGCCAGAAATTTCGGACAAAATGACGTCGGGCATGCGCATTTTGCATAACAATGGCGGCCATACAGCCATATAAAATGTATGGGGGACGGTAAACTTTCCTAAATAAGAAATCTAATTCTTTATATTTCTCTCTTCTCTACCTCGAATAATAATCGCGAATGCAGTGGTTACATGTTAAACCTAAAAAGAGCTTCTAGAATATTATCCTCGTGGTTCCTTAGCCTCCTCCACAGGCAACTCTTTTTTCCTCCTTTGGGCTTCMTTTGTAACGGTCATTTTGGCCGTTAGGGACTAGTGACGAGATAGCAAAAATAAAAAAAAGGAGGAGCTACCTTTTCTCGCCCCCATTCTCCCTCTTTTGACTCCTCAAAAAGACAGGAAGCCCGTGATKCTTAGTGATGCCTGCGGAGGAGGCTTGTGGTTCCTCGGCTTCTGACTTTTTCTGCACTCAAAGGCCATACATTCTCTCTTAATTTGCTAYAAATTTGCATACCTTAGTCACTTCAAGATGAAAATTGTATACGAAATCGTCGACTTGGACAACTTATCCGCATCGGTTCGCGTAAACGAGTGTTTAGCTGATTTAAAACAGCTTTTAGACTGCGATATAAAACTACTTTGAAGGTTCCCACGAAGGATGAACTTTGGTTATTTTCTAGGCTAGAAGTCGCCATGATATCTCTTAAAAATTTCAAAAAAAACGCTTAAAAAAAGAATCAAAACACACCAAAATAATCGCTGTGCTGCCATTTTGCTTTTCGAAGCTTTTATTGCATGCTGGGAAGCAATCAGGTAGCCCAAGGCCTTCCTTTTTTGATTTTCACGTTTGCAGTGGATTTAGAGCTCTTGGGCTTCCTGTGGCGAAACATAATAATAGAAATTGGAGCTTTTTTTTGGAAAGTCGCTCTATATTATCATATTTCTGTTTTATAATCCTTTATTTAGTACTAGTATGTCTTTTCAAGCCGTATTTGTACTTTTTTTCTTAAAAATAACAACATTCTATGATTTTTTATAAATGTCCCAAATTTCTGGCAATGCCTCGTTTCAGAGGGCCAAAGGATCTAAATCATGGTTGTAAAAGAGTATTTTTGGCAAGTGTTGCATTCTTTTAGAGCGTGTTTCGTCGCAGTAGCATCTTTACTAGGGAAGGTCACAATTCTAACAAATTGCTTGTCAAATTCTCAGTTCAGAATTGCATTCTAAAGAAGGAAATCGTATATAATTTTGTAAAAGAATAGAATTCGCTGACTCCTACTGCAGTAACCAAAGAATTTAACTCGCTCAATGCTTCTTCAAACAGTTAAAATAAACATACTAGTTCTACGTAGATCCATTTGGCTGTAAACTAGTAACCTTTGCTGAATGATATTTGAACTTTGACTTCCAAAAAGATCAATATGGTGGTAAAAGAAAGACCTTTCATATCTCAGTAAATATAAGAAACAGCGAGGTTAAGCAAGTAATAAACAAGTTAGATATTAGATACATATATTCTAATTGATTACCACTAGTATAATTTTATTGCCACGTTCAACATGGCGGGTGTTGACGGTAAGCATTGTCAATTTAGATCGKTTTTTGGCAAGCGTACAAAAAGTACCAGAATTGCACCTGTTAYTTACATGGTTTTGGAGCTCCAAAAAAGAGAAACCTATTTTATTTCTGTCAAAATTCTCACAGACGAAAGATCAAGAATTAATGTTATTAATAATTAGTTGCTTGCAAATGAATCTAATTACTCAACACATCTATTAAAACGTCTTCAAACATTCACTTAATCAAAGAAGATTCTCCCACCACTGAGAGCAGACCTCTTGCTTTCATTGCACTGAGGCCTTGGAGGTCTTTTTCATCAAATAACTGATTCATTGAAACAAAGAAACGATAAGAGATGAAAGTTTTTCATTTTCTTTTGTTGTTTGTTTTCCTAATCATCTTGGAACTCTCATCGGGACAAAACGAGACAGGTATTTAATAGGATTATATCAATAGTCGTTCAGCTGGAATGGTATAGAGGCAATTCCTATATATTCTTTTGTTAGTTTGCTGCTCATTTTTCATTGTTTGTTTCGATTGAATGTATCGTGTACTGCCTGCGTTACTTATGGGGGCACAGGCTTACCAGACTAGAGAAGTCGGCTCCAGGCATTGTATGGCGATTTTCGGCCTATTTATTACTACACTGGGGATTGCATGCAACCATTTACGTATGAAAAACACATCGCACGGCAAAATTAAAGAAGCACATATTTGCACTCAGAAAGCATTTTTTACTAAAAAATCTAGAATATAAATCCCCAAAATAACCCAAATGTCGACGTTGAAAATGAGCTAATTTTGAAGAGATTTCAACGGCTTTCGACCGTTCATCGCCATGGGAGACCTGGAGCCGACTTCTTTTCTCAATAGTCTGTTAATTAGCCTGTGTTGGGGGCGTCGGATATTTAATTGCATAGAGATAGAAGAATTGATTATTTTTCTTCTTTCTATTTCTAATCTTTTTCTGCATAGATTAATTATCGTCGTTTTCTTTTTCAAAAAGGGACTAGTTCCAAGAAGGCTAGCCGCCGTCTCCAAGCTGTTATCAAGGACCAAGAAATCGTCAAATCAACCCAAGCAACAAGTAAGTTTTCACTTCCTAAAATAGAGAACTTTTATCAATTTCATTATCGATAAAGTTTTGAGTGAGCAGAGCAGAGCAGAGCAGAGTAATTAAACATCCGAAAATATGAAAATAAGAAAATATGAAAATAAGACTTCTTTGACATAGAACTATACTCGGATGCTTAACTTTTGCATTTCACAGTGGAAATCGTTGAATCGCGACGTCTTTGTTTTGAAGTTTGTCTGGATTTTGGTAAACCCTTTGAGATGATTTTTAATCAACCGACACAGGAAGCCCAGTTGTCCTTCCGTCCGTCCGTCCGTGTACATCGCGATTCTGATTGGCYACTTTTGAGAAGGCGGGAAAAGGAAGTGCGCTCGCGTCAATTTTTGAAAACAATTTTTTCACCACTACGACTCCATTTTTGTCCTTTGAAACACTTTACTTCTGCGCCAAATGTCGGAAAATCAACGGGTAGATAAAGGAAAGCGATCTACATGCAATAAAAAATCGACATAACAATGTTTAACTTTGAGCTTGAGTTTTTTCTTTGAAAAAGCCTGCTCCGTGTATACGAGATCATATTCTAAGTTGCGCTCGACATAATTCGTCTAAAATTTTCACACACATTTGTAATACCACTAATAACAAGGTTCAGAAATATTTAAGAGAAAATAGGGCTGGTTTGCGAAATATTCAAGTTTAAGTGTTTTCCAGGATTTCCCCATAACTTGAATAAATTACACTTGATTTTCATGAAATCTATATATAACATATTTTGGTCTTTTATCCTTCATTTGACAAAATATTGACCGGATCAAAACAAAATAAACTGCATGTCGAAGCGTTTCTTTCGTAATGGTCGGTACTAAAAACAACTGTCCCCAGATACCTTAAGCGCTCATGGCCAGAAATTCCGGACATTTGAGCCCGGAACGAGTCAGCGGGTTTTCCCACCAAAATAGAGCTTTCTACAAGTTCCCTTGAGGTTTGCATTTTTGAAGATCAAATTTTCTACTCTTGTGCAACGATCCTTTATCTTAATACAATACTGGGCTAAAATCGAAACGTTCAAAACATCGACAAACGAGTATTGGGATAGCACGCTCTGATCCTTGAGTTCATTAGTGCCTTGTAAGGTGGTCGTTTGGAATGTTCATAGTGTAAATAATATTGTTTGCTGGAACACACGTTTCCCTTGGGTATTTTAAACAATAATCATCAGTTGATATTGTGATCTTTTGTTTATACTTGTACATTTGTAAGGAATTTAAAAGGTCTGACATTGTTTACACTAAATAGCGTAGACTTGATCTTTCGTTCGTATTTCCCGCTATTTACCACTGCGCGCAAGGCGCCAGTAAAAACCGCCAAAATTAAAGTAGTCCTAGTCTGAAAGCCACGTTTCTAAGGTTTATTTTGGTACCAAACATGGCGTATAAAATGAAAAGAAAATGGAAGATCGAGGCCAATTATTGGCGTGAAACACGCGTCTTCGCCAGCCATTTCACCGTCAAGTTAGTTTTTGTACGATTTCTAGTACCAAAATGGACGCTGTTGATCGTCTTCAAAATAGCTGAAAATCGCTGTGTTCCTACTTCAATATATATATATATTTATTTGGTTTTCCTACAGTGGAATCAAGAATAGTTTCCCTTTACGAATCCATCTATGGAATTTTTCCAATTAAAACAGATGAAATGTTATCCTCAAATATTTTTTTTGATCCATACATTTCTTTGTAAAATTTACATTCATGTTTTTATGCATTTATGCGAAGTACCGCTGCGATTGCGGGCTCAAATGTCCGGATTTTCTGGCCATGTTTCCAAGCGATCCAGAAGCAAAGCGTAGAATTTTAGTTGTTTTCAGTTCAAAACTATGAGTGCCGGGCATCGTATTTCCCCGATTTTGAAACCGCCGATCAAGCTCAACGCTTGACATTTCTCTGCAAAGGAAGAATATTTTCATGTCTGTAATCGTGGTCGTTTTATATTTCATTTCCTCGCGAAATTTAGACTGCCGTGTATGTACATAGTCTTTCGCGAGGTAAAAATTTTGAAGTGCCTCAAATGACTATTTCGTATTCTGTGCCGAGGACAAGGAATTTGCTGAAATTCAAATCTACTGAGTTCACGGCAAGCGCTTGACAATTCTCCGTGAATATAAAACGGTTTTATACATTCAATCTTAGCGGTTTTATTGATTTTTGTGAGAAAAA